TGTTCCCATTGGTCTCTAGTATCGTGGCACTTAGCTTTGGGGGACGCTTATGCTGTCTGTGGCTCCTTCTAACTTGAAAGGTGACCCCAGTGCTCTTCCTGACCCAACAAAGTCCTGTTGTTACCAGCATTTGCTGGCTTGTAGGGGAAATGCTGCCGTTCCCATTCCCCTCGAGAATTCAGAAGGGAAAAGCCTGCCCTCTGAGACCTCAACTCTAGGACCTGCCCAGATGGGAATGGAGGGCACAGCTTTTGGGATGAGCACCGTCACTGGGGCTGGCCTGGGTAGGTCCCCAGGAAGCTGTTGCCAAGTTTGCACAGGGTCCACCCTTCGTGAGGTCGAATGGCCTCAAGGGTATCCTGCAGAAATGTCACCTGCCCTCACCTACATCCTGGCCCTGGGTGTGGAGGGCCGAGGCTTGCCCCAGGTCTGGCTCCACAACCGCATGACCTGGGAACTAAGGATCAGCCTCCTGCGGGAGAACCAGCTGCCCATGGCACGGCCCCCTCGAGCCCCCACACCCAGGACTACAACCCCTAGAAGCCCTTTGTGGTGGCACCCACACCTGGGCCGCCTGGGTTTTCTCCACCATGTGAAGTGTGTAGGAGGGCTCCTGAGTCTGGACTTCGACCTGAGAACTTGGGGCCTTGGGGGAGCTAAGGAGCACCCACCGAAGTCAGGATGACGCCTCGGAAGGTCTTGTCATTCTCCAGCTTCTCCAGGCTGATAATGAACTCTGTCAGCAGCTCTAGGCTGAGGCTGTTCACTGGGGGGTTCTTGAACTTCATCACGGCGACCCCTAGTTTGAAAATGAAAAGGACAAAACTCATACCCAACATGGGAAAGGTACCCCCAACTACCCTGCACCCTCAACCAGGCCATGGGAAGCTACACAGATTTTGGGTTTTTTAAATTGAGGTGAGATTCATATACCTTATAAGAAAGGGAACCCTGTACCCATCAGCAGTTACCATTCTTCCTGTTCCAGCCCCTGGCAATCAGTAATCTCTTTCCTGTTCCTATGGATTTGCCAGTTGTGGACATTTCATATAAGTGGAATCATATGTGACCTTTTGTGTCTGTCTTCACTGTTTTCAAGGTTCATTTATGTAGTAGCATGTGTCAGTGCTTCATTCCTTCTTAAGATCAAATAACGTTCCATTAACTGTGTACAGCATGTTTTGCTTATCCAGTCACCTGCTGATGGACACTTGGGTTAGTTCCACCTTTTGGCCATTGTAATACTGCTGTGAACATTCATGTACAAATTTTTGTTGATCTTTTTCTCCCAGATGTAAGTCCTACATCCTCAGGGGAGTAAGAAATGGCCTTAGTTTCTTGAGTAAGTGAGCAAACACTAAACCAGATGTGCAAGGAGGAACGCCAGTGGGGGCCTCTGGTTCATGCTTGTTTAAGGATTGAGAGTAAGAATATCAGGGGTCAGATGTTCTTAAACACTCCATCTATTCATTTATACTGCCAGCAGCAGGGAAAGCAGGAGTGGTAGGGCCTGCCCTTGTGGACAGTGCAGCTGCTGGCCTGGGCCGGCTGGGGCCATCTGTTCTCACTGCCTGGCCCAAGGGCAGATCCCAAGGGCTTTAGAAATGCCACCGTTCACTTAGGGTACATCTCCCTGGTCAAGGCCTTGGAAATCTCTGGATAGTCAACACAAACCATTCTCTAGGAATGAGAATTAAGTCCTGAAGGCAAGGAGACTCTTTTGAGACCTATGATTTATGAGGAAGAGGTAATTATTAACTGGCTACAGGTATGTACATGTAAAAATAAGAAGCAATCAAAACTTTCAGAAGTGAGCTCCCCAAACTTGGTTCGGAGGTAAGTTTCTTTTTTCTTTTTTTAAAATTTATTTATTTATTTTATTTTTGGCAGCATTGGGTCTTTGTTGCTGTGCGCAAGCTCTTCTCTAGTTGTGGCGAGCAGGGGCTACTCTTTGTTGCGGTGTGTCGGCTTCTCATTGCGGTGGCTTCTCTTGTTGCGGAGCATGGGCTCTAGACACATGGGCTTCAGCAGTTGTGGCACGTGGGCTCTAGAGCACAGGCTCAGAGTAGTTGTGGCACACAGGTTTAGTTGCTCCACAGCATGTGGGATCTTCCCAGACCAGGGATTGAACCCGTGTCCCCAGCATTGGCAGGCAAATGCTTAACCACTGAGTCACCAGGGAAGTCTCAAATGAAAACATTTAAAAAAGTACTTTTATTCCATTAATTCCTCCAAGCCTCAAGATGCCTGAAGGTTACCCAGGTCTGGCAGTGAGGACAGAACCAAGCCTGGCTTTCTGACCTCAAACTCAACCTTCTACCACGATAAGCCGGTGAAGCTAGCGAGTTCTTCCATGGTGGGGTGGGAAAGCACTTTGGTAAAAAATTGTCTCACTGATAATTTTTTTCTTACTTGTTTACATAAAAGAAAGTCTACCATTCAAACCATTTTTAAGTGTACAACTAAGTGGTATTAAGTATATTCACAATCTTGTGCAACCACCACCACCTACTTCAATACTTTAAAAATGTGTTTTATTCAAGTTCTGATATATATTCAAATCTGTCACAGAAACAATCCTTTCAGAAACTCAGGTTTTTGTTGGACTCGTAGTTGGGCCCCTCATCACCTGGCTCGGGCAGCCCCCAACCCAGAGAGGAGCTAAACTAGAGAACTGAACCAAGGAACACGGTGGGTGCCCTGACAGCAGTCCAGGCACAGGCAGCGATGCACAACCTGTGCGTGTCTGGGGGGCTCTGGGGGGCTGAAACTGTAGCCCCTTTTGGGGAGGAGCTTGGCTCCCTGCCAAGCCAGAGTGGACTGGGGATGGGAGGCATCTTGAAAGGCTGAGGCCAGGAGCTGGGAGGTCATGAGACAGCTTGTCCTAAAATCTGACACTGCACGTCTCCGATGTCAAGCCTGCTCAGGACCCAGCTCTGAAGTGCCCTCTGGTAGAGAAAGCACTGGTTTCTCTTTCAAAAGTGCTTTTTCTATCTTTTTAAAATCCCCCTTGGAGACTTTTAGGAGGTGTTCTGATGGGAGTGGGTAGGAGTGACTTCACTTGTGGCTCCTGGCTTTAATTAAAAAAATATCTGCTGGGTTCTGTGCCACTTGGGAGTATTAAGAAAAATTAAAATATTTTATTCTGAAATACTTCCAATTATTTTAGTTCCCAATTTAACAGCTAAGGAGCACATGCCCCAAACTTTAAAAACTGAAATATTTTTATCTTCATAATGAACTGGGGGGCGAAAACACCTAGACTGATGACCCTTAAGCTTTGAACTCAACAGAAACTGCCTTTAAAATTGGGCTTTATCCCGTGGCCTTTAGAAATTCGAGCGTTCTCCCGAGTCTGGATTCCAGGTCTGGGCCTGGAGCTGGGGGAGATCAAACGCACTGCCCAGTGAAGCCCGCTCTGCTGCCAGCGCCCCCCTCTTTCCCCACAGCCGGGCGGCCGGGCGCTCGGGCGACCGCGCTCCGGGCGCTTACCTGCGGCTGCGTCCGGCTCCACCAGCACCCGCTGGGTCCCGAAACGCCGCGCGCTGTCCCCGCTGCCGGCCGTCGGCTCCGTCCGCCTGATGGTCGCGCCCCGGAGCAAGGCCCCTGCGGAGGGCAGCGCGAGGCCCGTTAGCCTGCCGCGCCCCTGCCCCCCTCCCCAGGCCCTTGCCCAACCCGGCCGCCGCCCCCAGTCACGCACACGGGCAGAGCAGGGCACGCGACAAGACGCGCGCTCCAACCGCCAGCGCCATCTTGACCGCACTGGGTCGGGGTCGCGGCGCCGGGGTGTGGCCTTGCCGCCCGCCCCGCCCCCAGGGCCTAGGCCTCTCCTCCGGGAGGCGGGGGCTACTGCACCCGGCCAAGGCCGCGGTCGAAGGCCCGAGCGGGCGGAGCCTCGGGCTTAGCTGAGCAGGACGCTGGGGCTGCGGGGTGAAGGGTCGCCGATAGGGAAAACCGGACAGGCCAGACGCCGCACTCCCCACGACCTCCCCACGACTCGCAGCTGCGCCACCACGCAAAGATCGAGCCGCCCAGACCCGGGACCACACGTAAGTCACGGAGTGTGCGAGTCCCGGAGAGGGTTGTGAACCGAGTGGTAGTCAGGGACTGTGGGGACCCCGGCAGCTTGCGGCCCCGCAGAGCCGTCAGCAGAGCTGTGGGCACTGGAAAGGATGCTAGAGGGGATGCTGATGGGGGCCAGTGTGAACTCCGCCTCCTGCCTGTGGGGGGGGACCAGGAATCTCAGCTGGTGGTTTAGCCACAGGCGTGGGGCAGCATAGCCTGGTGACTAAGAACTGACCCTTCACCTTCCCCAAGGGGTGAGGTGCTCTCACACCACTGTGGGACTGCAGTGCTCCCCACAAGGAAGGGGAAGGAGACATCTCGTGTTTGTATTTACTTGATCCTGCCTGAACACTGTTCTGACCATTCAGTTTGAACACTGGACACAGTAAGGGCCAAGGGTCAAGTACGGGGTGGGGGGGGCAACTGAGACTTGTTTTTGTAACATCTTAAGTGTTTTCAATTGTTCCTTGTGAAACAAACCAGTTTTTGAGGTGGAAAATAGCTTTTCCATGGCCACCTAAAATAGCAGCAGCAAATGAAATCCACATTTCTGGTCAGGTAGAATTCAAAGCTCCTGTAATATAAAGGTGATAAAACACCTCTTTCTGGGACTTCCCTGGTGGTCCAGTGGTTAAAGACTCAGCACTCCCAGTGCAGGGGGCGGAGGTTTGATCCCTGATTAGGGAACTAAGATCCTGCATGCTGCATGGTGTGGCCAATAAAGAAAAACAAAAAACACCTCTTTCTAAAATGTGTCTAGCCAAGGAGCAGCCCAACACTCATAAACACTTCCAGTGTTTTTCTGGTTGAGAGGTTTTGGAGCTGTGACTTTGGGAATGAAACCAAAACATTTTTTAGACAATCATGTTTAATTACCTCACAACTGAAGCTGCCTTTGGGGCCAAGGGACAGGAAGGAGGCAGCGAACCCAACACTCGAGCTGCACTCTAATCCTAGGTTTATTCAACACAATTCTTTTCTCTACACGACAAAGTACAAACACAATATTATCTAAAATGCTACAAAGTTACAAAACTCAAAACAGAAAATGTATAGTACTGACTGTACAATAAAAGCCAAAAAAGCAATGTACACGTTGCCAAAGTAACCTGCACGACCACCATGAATACCAACACAACGGGGGGTTCTGTGATGACCGGACAGAGCTGGCTCTCAACTTACAAGTTTCAGAGAGAAAGGGAGACATGGGTTTGTCTGTGTGTGTGTGTGTGTGTGTGCACGCACATGAGTACACCTGAAAAGAACCATTTTGGGTATTTGGCCCTAGAGGTCAGAAGAGGACTCAAGCAGGGGAGCAGGGCCAGGCTAACAGGAATGGCAGCTGCGTAAAAGCACACCCTTTCCTGTGGGACCCTGCAGGCCAACAGGTTAGGGCACGACCAGCCCACCAGATGGAACCCACGTCATCTGTGGAATGGGAAAACATGCTCCCAGGCTGGGGCTGTACCACCGCCTGGAGCCCCCTGCTCATCCCTGCTGGCTTTGCCACTAAACTGACTCTCAGGAACTAGGAATGTGGAAGCTTTCTAGCCAGAAAACTGGAAGGCATCATTATAAGCACGACCCCAAACCAACAACACTCCTGCAGCCGGAACTCTGCCGCCAGGGGAAATGTAGCAATTACTGCCTTCACCTTCGAAGCCTGCCCCGAGTGAGGGATTTCTTTCCTACCGATCCTCCTTCTGCTAGAAAAGTGACAAAAGTGAGTTGCATGGTATACAAGTCACAGGGCAGAGCTTCGGTGGCCCTGCTTATCGGGAGGAGTTGGAGCTGGAGCGGCTCCTGTGGCGGCGGCGGCCAGGGGAGCGGGATCGCCGGCGCACGGGGGACCTGCGCCGAGGGGAACGTGACCTGTGGGAAGAGGAGAAACCACATCAGACACGAAACCCACACCCCGGGAGCAGCTCCGCATCTGGAATCACAGGGGTAAAGCTGCCTTCTTTCGGGAACAATTCTACACAGCTTCACACTCCAACACTCCAGTCAGGACAGCTCCCTTTGGATGTCCCTGACGCAGAACCCTTGGGAGACACACAAATGTTCTGGAGACCAAGGGCATGACCCCAGGCACTCTCTTCTTCGAGGGCTGTGCAAAGTGCACCTTGACACCGCTAGCAGAGGACAGCCTGACACTGGCCTCTGCCAAGGGTGTTGTTAGCCTCTCCCCTACTCCTCTGACCCTTCCGGTTTTCTCATGGAGGGAGGGGAGGGGTCACACCTCCCGAGGGTCCCTCAATCAGGCAGCTCTTCCTTTCCCCAGCTGGAAAGAACACGATGAGCTCTGAAGACTGCCTATGCCAATGCTGCTTTCCCACCCCCATCATGAGGCACAGAGGACAGGCAGGGCTGGACAAAGTCCCGAAGTCATCATCCTAACTTTATGTTTGTAAATAAGATAAACGGAAACTGGCCCTAACCAGTCCCCTGTGAGACCCCGAAGTGATTCACCTTCTCCTCATCCGTGGGGGTGACCTGCGCCACATGGGAGGTGGTGGCAGCATTCTCCTGGGAGGGCTGAATCGCCTGGGGGGTGGCCGAGGCCAGGGGGCCAGCACAGCAGTGGCAGTGATCTCCTGGCCATCGATTTGTCCTGTTGAAAAAAGGATAAAGTCACAAAATATCTAACAAGCACCTACCCTGGGCCAGGCCCAATGCCAGCTATGGGCATACCATGGTGAGTGAGACAGAGAGGAGCCTGGGGGGACAAGGACAAACTACTCTGGTCACAGAAAGAACCTCATAATTACTGTTATTGGAGGTTTCATAAAGAAAACTACCAGGAAGCAGGGAACCTAATCTTAGTGCATTGGGATAGCCTTCCACGGGAAGCACCATCCAAGTCAACACCTAAAGAACAGCCTGGAATTTGCTAAGTGAGGGGAAGAGCTATGCTCCCGCCCTGAGCTGGAAGGTGGTGTTGCACTTGAACTTCCTTCTTAAGAGCAATGTGAAGGGGGCACTGCAGTGAGGAGACCTGGCAGGGGGCTTTGGCAGGACTGAGATGGGGGTGAAACATAAGAACTCAAGGGATAATGGGGAGGTATAATCACCGGAGCTTGGTGATGGATCAGGTGAGCAAGCCCAGGGGTGGGGTGAAGGATGATCAGCACCAGGGTTTTGGATGATCTGTGATCTCCTGAGAGGTGGGGCCCGAGAGGAAGAAGGGACTTCTGGGGTGGGGAACAAAATGAAAGGATGTTCAGGAGTTGTCAAGTCTGTCTAAAGAGTTTGAAAAAAGTGCTTCAGGGAGGTGAGTCCACGTGCAGCAAGTACTAAAACCACGTGTGAATGAAATCGTAGAATGGCAAGGGGAGGCAGCTCAGAATGGAGGCACAAGGAAACTGCAGGACCTCAGGGAAAGAAAGAGCAAAGGACACTGAGGCACAGACCCAAGAATCCCAGGGGATAAGGCACCCGGATCCAGTCCAGGGACTGCTCAGGGGACCAAGCACAGCCCGTGTACCCCCAAAGAGTGGAGGGTCTTCTATCTTCTCAGCTCCTACTTTCAAGGGAACTTCTGAGGTATTAAGGTGACTCAGGAATTTGGACCTATGTTCGCAACATACTTGAAAGGCTCAATTTAAGTAAACACGGCTTAAGGTTGCCCTGGCCTATGGCCAAAAGCCAGTCCAAGTCAGGGATTTCACAGGCACTGACTATGTAACAACAGAGGCAAAGTCATCCTCTGGCTAGCTACCAGTAAAGGCAAAGCCCCCCCCCCCCGCTTTCTTTCTGGAGACAGTGTGGAGCTGTTCCATTCAGTGGTGCACAGCACAATACACACAGGAAAGTCCTACCAGAATCTTAAGAAAACGTGGAATATTTATAATCACACACATCCTGAACGTGCCCAAGTCTCCCAAATTTTTAGCAAGTGCTCAGACTCTATCAAATACACAAGATCAACAGTCTCTAAAACAAAGGTGTGACTCAACAAAGCCAAGAGCTGAAGTGTGCAGAGGGATGGATCATAGTTTATGCTTAACTCATAAAACACTCCAGAGGGATTTAAGTAGATTGAAAGAGTTGTACCTCAGTACCAAGGAAAATTTTGTAGTATACAAACTCTACCAGAGCTCAAGGGCCAAAGACCTGTGAGGCTATTTATCAAATGTATAAGAGGGCCTCCAAGGATGTCAAGATTGTAAGGGGTTCAGAATCTCCTTCCCACTTGGCCTGGCAGCCCACACAGTGCTGTGGGCAGTCCCGGCTCAGCTCCAGCTGCCTAAAGTACAGCAGCAGTGAACTGGGGCACAGACAAATCCCATATTCCTTCAAATGCAGACTATTCGAAATTTGAAGCTATTCACAAGCGTTCAAAGGTTGACAAATCATTCTACCGAATAAAAAGTGGCTATGGGAAATGGGTAAAATTTGTGAATTCAGCGAAGTTATCCTAAAAATGCTGAAATGTTAGCAAAAGACAAAATGATTCAAGACTTCCCTAGCAGCGCAGTGGTTAAGAATCCGCCTGCCAATGCAGGGGACATGGGTTTGAGCCTTGGTCCAGGAAGATCCCACATGCCGCAGAGCAACTAAGCCCATGTGCCACAACTACTGAGCCTGCGCTCTAGAGCCTGTGAGTCACCACTACTGAGCCCGTGCTCCGCAACAAGAGAAGCCAACGCAATGAGAAGCCCGTGCACAGCAACGAAGACCCAATGCAGCCAAATAAAAAGAGAGAGAGAGAGAGAGAGAGGGAAAGAGAGGAGAGAGAGGGAGAGAGAGGGAGAGAGAGAGGGAGAGAGAGAGGGAATGACTCAGAGAGGATTAAAGAAAACATTTCCATATAAAAATGATGCTTCGTTATATTCATAATATACTCCTTGGGGGGGGGAACCGTTCATTTGATCCTTAAAACTTTGATTGATATTCATATTTGATGAATTTTTTTTCAAGAACCATGCTCCACAAAACATGTGTTTGGTAAACACCCACCCACTGAGTAAGAACTGGAATCTTGAAAGAGCTCCAAGGAGATTCTTACATGCAGCCAGGTTGAAAGTCGGTTTTAAACACACTATGCGTGGTGGGTAGCTGGTCGTGGACAGGGGACAAAGAAACAGGGGTTCAGAGGGGAGCTGGCAGGGCTTAACTCACCTCCGTCCATGTGCTTCAGCGCCTTCTCGGCCTCATCTGGATTCTCAAACTCCACATATGCATAGCCTTTAGACAGATGGGGGTGCATCCTTTCTACAGGCATGTCAATCATTTTAATTTTCCCATAGGTGGAGAATATCTCCATGATATGATCCTAGGGAGAAAGAAGAGTCACTAATGCTCATCCACTAATCACTTGTGTAAGAGTCAGAGAACCCACTACACAATGACTACAACCTTGGCACCTGGGGGTAAATCTAAACACATACATATAATATATTCCATTAAAATGAATTAACCAGTGCTCTACTTGGTCATGCACCACCAAGTCAGCCCTCCGAAATGCTACATTCTAAGTTCACCTTCTGGCAGAGGCTTGCTTCTCCAGCTTTCCACTTTGAAAATTTGCAAAACAGACACACCCCACTGTCCACTGGACAGAAACAGGATTCCTCACCTTGGTCACATTCCTGGTGAGCCTTCCAATGTGCACTTTGGTGGGTTTAGGGGAAGGGCTCCGCCTTTTCCTTTCCTTTTCATCTCTTTTGGGTGGTTTGGATCTGATTGAAAAAACAAAAAATCCTATTAAGACAGTAAAACTCCTTTTTTGGTCTATTTTTATAATAACTACGGTGACTTTACAGCCCCCCGTTTGTTAATTTAGGTCCCCAGGTAATTCACAGGTTTTGGGGGAGAGCCCTCAAGCCAATTACTCCCGGGTGGAGAAGCGGTGCTGGAAGGGAGCTCACTTCGAGCGGGAACGCCGCCTGTTGTCATGTCTGCGCCGAGAAGGACTCGGTGAGCCAGAGGAGCTGCTGGAGCTGGAGCTGCGGGATGTGCTGGAACTTCCTGAGCGGCTTGATGCTGAAGATGAGCTGGATCCGCTGCTGGAGCCTGTGCTGGTGCTGGAGCCTGAGCTGGAGGTAGAGCTGGACCGAGACCTGAGGGGCAAGAGGGAGGGGGTCACAGACAAGTGGTGGGAGCAGCATTTCTTCACTGAACAGGCAAGCCTGCACATGCTCCCAAGATGAACTGCTGGCCTCGTATTTTCAAAACCCACTGCTTTCCCCAGCGGGGCAAACACTGACATCCTCCGATCCCTGCCCTAAGCCAAAGCCCTTGGTAGGGACAGAAAACAGCATACATATTGTGCAGTGATAGGGAAGGAAGAATGAGCTGCTTCCAACCTACACAGAAGCCTTGCCTACTGGGAGGTAAAGAAGGAGCCTGGCAAGTCAGAGCCACTAACTCAGCTTGGAAGGCAGCTACTGACTAACACAGGCTGGTTTTCAACAGAAGGAAAAGGAAGCTCCAGGCTAGGGCAATCCAAGCACAACTCCAAATCAAAAGCACTTGACAGAAAAGCATACCCCAAGATGTCCCATTCCTTAACATCTCCAGAAAAGAAAGAATCCCAACACCATCCTCTGTATATAATGAGAGCAAACCCCAAACCAGTTTGCCATAAATTAGAGTCTCTATTAAAAATCTGAGTGTGTTCCTTTATAAGAAGACAGAGCACTCTGCAGGCTCTTCGGGAAGGAAGAGGGACACGGCTGTGGACGCGAGGCCCTGGCAATGCTCTAACCCGTCAGCCCCACCTGGTGCTGCTGCTACCACTGGAAGCGCTGCGTCTCTTTCGAGTTTTATCCCTGCCACGATCCTTCTCGCTTGACTCCTTGGTGGCCCCCTTATCTTTAGAGCGATCCTTGGACTTCTCATCAGAGCGGTCTTTGCGTTTGGTAGGAGAAGGAGCCCTGGATAGTGAGGAAGAGTATGAGATTACATGCCCCTTTGAATGAACCCTGAAACAACAGCACAACCCCAAAGGGCTACACAAATCCCAGGCAATCACAGGGCAAAATATCTGTGGCTTAGGACACTTTCACTGTAAAATTCAAGACATTTCCAATTTTCCCCTTTCTGAGGGTCCCTAGCAATGAGCACCCCCAAAGTAGCACTAGAAAAATCTAACAGAAGGATTACCTAGTGCTGGACTTTTTATTATTTTCTTTGACTCCTAGCAAGCTCTTCTTTTTCACTCCTGATAAATCCATTCTCCCCTTCTGAGGTGTTCAAAGCAGCAATGGCGGCCTCACTTATCTGAACTCTCACTTCTAACTTGAGTCTGAGAAACGATCCCTAATCGATTGCAATTTACGCCAAAGTGCAGCCTAATAACAAGATAAAAGGATTTACAGAGTAAATTGGCAAGGCAACATATCTACTTTGCAATCAAAAGCTGAGCACAGGAGAAGGCAGCAAGGAACACAGTAAGCAGCAAGCATCCACAAAGCCAGGAACACACGGGGGATGAGCACTGTTTCCTCAGGGGGGGAATCCCGCCCCCACAGGAGGCACAGGTAGAACCATCACCTCAGCTTGTCTTTTTCTTAAGGAACGGTGTGGATGGTGGTGTCCTGTTATTTTACAGGCGGTACAATACCCGTTTTTCATTCTTAAGTTTGATGATGAGCCCTCCACAGTCCTTTAGAAATACTACAGCACCACATTTGCATGCAGAACAGAGAAAAACCCAACTGATAGGATTAGATTTCTTGTTTCATTGCTGTAATCTTTGTAGGATACATTGAATATATGATATGACTGGAAGCAAAAACCATTTCAAAAGTGACTGGTACCGGCATCAAAACATTTAATACCCAAACACAAACAAATGAAACGTTCCCCATGAACACTTAAAAAGCAGTAAAATAAGCCGTTGAAGAATAGTCATTGTAAACACTGACTAATGTTAATGATATGCATATGAGTTAGGGGGGGAAGTATACCAAAGTCTGCAACTTACTTTGAAATGCAAGAAAAAATAAGATTGATGGGTGGCTAGATATAAATAAAGCAAATGTTAACAGAAATGTATCATGTAGAATCTAGGTGGTGGTGACGTGGCTATTCACTGCACAAAATTTTTTCAGCTTTTCTGTATGTTCACATTTTTTCAAAAATAAAATGTTGGAGGGAAAAAAGTAGACATTGGAATTGGATGAGGTACCACATGTAAGGGTTTAGCCAAGTGCCTGGACTGCCATGTACTCAGTGAACAAGCAATAGTAAATATTACTCAAGAACAAACAATTAATTATGTGCCCTGTTTCCTCAGGACTGTTGTCTTTAGTATTTCCACTGACGTTTTGTACAATCTGCTTGAGTTGCAAGCAAAGATCTCGGGATGTCAGCCTCAACTACCTCTAGCTCACCTTCCTGTAAGTAACTTGGACATGGCACACCAATCGGGATCCTGTTTCCATGTGAATAGTGCTGCCAAAATGCTGGATAAACATTCTGACTGAAGAAAAGAGTACCCAGCTTTGGACATGCAAGTGAAGTACAAAAGAGAATGTCACTTTTGCTGCTCTTTTCCAGGACTATAAAATTTTTAAAGATGTTTTGTTTTAAAATAATAAGGTACTATAGACACCCAGCAGGCAACATTGGATAAGGTTAGTGTCCTTGGACAATCAGGGAGTATAATTCAATGGTTAAGAGTCTGGAGTCAGCCTGCCTGGGTTTGATTCAAAGCTCTGTTGTGTGACCTTGGACAAATCACTTAACCTTTCTGAGCCTCAAGTTCTCATCAGCAGTACAGTGACACAGACAGTTCCTACACCTCATAGTTATCAGGGACATAAACCAAATTAACCCATAAAGGAGTTAATTTGGCACCTAGTTAAGGCTCAATAAACGGTAGCTAATGTTAGAAGAGAGGCTCTGGAGGCTCTTCTCCCACATAAATTCTTGACTCTAAAGTCACACACAGTCTCTGAATGCTCAACAGGGGTCCCTGGATTGCCCCTATTAGGGTCACCAAGAGCAGCACTGTCCAATAGAAAGAGTGCCAGCTACAAGAGTACTCTAAAATTTTCTAGTAGCTGCATTACAAAAAATCTTGGTTAACAGATAAAGTTAACTATTAGTAATATATTTATTTGACATGCTACACACCAAGTATTATCTTTTCACCAATCAGTATACAAATTCATTAATAAAACATCTACACCTCCCCATACTAAGTCTTTGAAACACCTCAATTTGAACTAGGTATATTTCAAGTACTCAATAGCCACGTGTGGCCAATGGCTACCTTATTGTTTAACTGTCCCAGAATGCAGATTCCTGGACCCCACCGCCGTCCTAAAGATCTGCCCTAATGTACTTTGTGAAAACAAGCACCACCGGTTATTCTTAAAACACTAAAAATTAAGAACCACAGAGTAAGTGAACGCTTTGCTGGGCGTGGCCTGAGTACTAGAAAGCAAAGGTTGAGGTTCTCTGTTTACACAAGTTCAGGTAACAGCACAGGACCTTGATTACCTCCCCCATCCTCCGGAAAGGTGCGCGTCCAACAGCCAGAGAGAGGAGAGAACAATTAGTTAAATCTCGAGTAGATGGCGTTTCAGCTCACATCTTCAGAGCACCTTCCCCATTTAAAAGTACATTTTAGGCACAATTCATGCGAAATAACAAAGAGAAAAAGCCATGCCTCTCCTCCATCGATTTTAACCTTCCCGTATCCTCCCTCCTGGGGTTACCCGTCAAACTGAGCTCCAAGACATTAGGGGCCTATCCCCAAGGACTAGCACCGAGAACGGCACACAGGAACCCGGCAGACGTTCGTGGAGTCGATGTTTGAATTAACGGCTTCGAAGGGAGGGTCAGTCGGTCACCCAGGGCATCCCACAAAGCAACTCCGCACCCACCGGCACCGGCCCCACACGCGATCTCGCCGCCCACCGTCCGCGTTCACTCACAACTCCCCAGTCCAGGCGCCGGGCCGCGAGCACTTCCAGGGTAGGGCCCGGCGTTGCGGGCCTGGGTCTCCAGCCCGGCGAGAAGGCCCCGAGGGCGGAGGCCGAGCTCCCGGCTGCTCCGAATTCCGGGGGCCTCACTGGGCCCGCCGCAGAGCGGACGAAGCGAGGGCGCCCTTCCGCCCGCCGCGGCCCCGACCACTTCCGGGCCGCGGCCTCGGCGCCTCCCACTCAGCCCGCCCCGGGCCACACTCTTTATTCTCAAACACTGTACCGCGCCGCTAGGCCGCCGTTGTCACCGCGTGGCCGGGGAGCAGGCCGGCTCCACGATGCGCCCCGCCGAGCCTGGCGGGCGGCCCCTGAAGCTTGGATGGGGTCGGATTCCCCCTACTTACATCTTCCCGCCGCCACGACCTCCGCTCGCTCTCCTCAGCCTCTGACGCGGGCGCCGCTCTGGCGTCAGGATTAGGGAGCGGGAAGGCACCCTCGTCCGGCGCGCAGCGATGACGTAGACCGCCTCAGCCAATGAGTGCGAGCGAGGAGAGGGTTAAAGGGCCAAGGCCTTTTTGGGGAGAGAGGAGTCGGGGCGCTTATACTCTGTCTCCCTCTCTGGAGGGGCGACTGGGGCTGTCCCGGGCTAGCTGCACCCCTCATGGGGTCGGCAAGCTGGCAGCTCTCTGGGGCTGGGAGGACTGCGCTGTGTGGGTAGCTCGCGGGCCGGCGCGGAGCGGGTTAAGGGGGCCGTGGCCCCGCCCCTATCCGTGCGCGTGCGCACCGGGCTCGCGGCGTGCCTCCCGGCTTGCCTAGGCGCTTGTCTCCAGACCCCGCAGCTTCGCGCTGGGAGAGGCCGGGCGGCGGGGTTAGAGGAGGGGTGTGCAGGTGCTGCGGCCTTTGGCGGCAGGCCGTGGGGACCCGCATGGCAGAGGCGGCTCAGCGGGCCGGGCCCATTGCGGGGATGGGTTCTTGCGATTACCACTAGTGGTGTGAGGGGTTACCGTGTAGACTCAGCTTCTGCGCCGGCGGAATTCGGCCTGGTGGGCAAGACGGGGTTGTGCAGCCAGAACGCACGGGCAGCAAACTGCAGGGTAGAAGATAATGTGCAGAAAGGGAGGCGCTTCCGAGGAGGTGTCACTGCAGCTGAGACCCGAGTGGAAGGGCGCGCCCGGCAGAGGGAACAGCTGGTGCGAATGCGCGGAGGCTCGCTGGAAGAAGCCGCGGCTAGGAAGGTGGAGTTTAGCGTTGGACAGAACGGGGAAGATGTGCAATATACGGCGCCATGGCGTCATCCCCTGGCCGGTGGACGGTGCAGGCGGGGAGGCACTGTCAGAGCCTTCTGGCGAAGGCAGGAGGGTGAGGGTTAGAGGCCCAGGACCAGGCAGGAGGCTGTCGGAGTAAAACCGGCGCTGAGTGCATCAGGGCTTGCAGGTTTGTTTACCGCTATGTCCCTCTTCCTCCCGCGCTGTGCCTGGTAAGCAGTCAAAACTGCGTGACTGTTAGTTGGGGGCAGGGAAGGTGCATCCCCGTCCCAGACGCCGTGTGAACAGGTGGGTGTCCCAAGGAAGAGAGGGGAACAGATCCAAGGTGCTGATTTGGGGGGGGGGGGGAGGAACCAGTGAGGCTTGGAGATGGATGAAATGTCAGGGGAAAGGACAAGGGAGTCCAGGATGAGTCTTAGTGGCCCCGATGGATGGGTATACCTATGTTTGTAGTCTGCAGGTCATTGCTTTCTGCTCCATGTGGTTTTCCCAGCCAGTGGATAGTGACTCCTTTCCTTCATCCAGTTCCTCTGGCCCTGTCCAGGGTGTCAAGTGTGCCCCTAACACCTCACCCTGGGCCGAGGAGTGTCTGAGAAGTTGGGGACAAAAGAGAGTCCTGGAGGAGCAGCCTGCCTTTTGAATCCTCTCTGCCTAGGCACCAACACACTCCTGGGGGTGGGGGTTGGCAGGCAGAGTCAGTGTGGGTCTGGTTCTCCCTTTGCATTTAGATTTGGGGAGGAGGGGGCCTTTATCTCTGCATCACTGTCACATCTGCCATGGCCACTAATGGAGGCATAAGTGGAACAGAAGGGTATCCCTGGCCGTGCATCAGTGAAGAGACCCAGAGGGTCGGTGTTGGGGATGGTGTGGCCTTGATGAGCCAGGCCTGCAGCACACAGAAGTCTGTGAGGAGGCCACGGCAGCACATTGGAGCCCCACATATTCAGGGCCACGTCAATGTGTGCCCGAAAGGCCCCAAATCCAGAGCCTTTGCCCAGGGACACAGTGACACCCTAGGTGGGGGTGGAGCAAGCCCATGATCCCCACTGTGGCAAAAGGAGGATGGGGACACAGCCAGCTGGGCAGATAGCCCCTTCTGGTTTTGGTTTTTTGGCTGCTGCCACACAGCATGCAGGATCCTTAGTTCCCTGACCAGGAATCGAACCCGTGCCCCCTGCAGTGGAAGCATGGAGTCTTAAACACTGGACCACCAGGGAAGTCCCCCCTTCAGTTTTTTTGTTGTTGTTAACGCTCTAAAGTAGTAGAATTTGGCACGCATATAAATTTTAACACATTTCGTATTAAATTTAAAAGCATGATTTATTCATTAATGAATTTAATCAAATTTGTTTCTAAATATTATTGATTTTATTATCGTGTGTTATCAGCTGTTGAGCTTTAATATTTGAGCATCTTGGCTTTTGCCATTTTGAGAATCAGCAGAATGTGTTTGGAAGGAACATGAGAAAATAAAACTCTGGAGGGCCCCCGACCCCAGCCTTCCAGGAGTCCTGGGTTTCTCCCCTCCCAACCCCCAGTGCTAACCTGCTGAGGCCATGGGAATTGAGGGCCAGGGAGCTGTGGTCTTCGGGGACCTCAGGAGGTCTTTGGCCCAGGTTTGATGGAGGGGGTGGGGCAGGGCTCCTTGGGACAGGGCACTGGGCAAACAAGCCCCAGGCCTGGAGCTTTACACCACAAGCATCCTGTGGGCTCTGGCCAGTGTCTTGAGCCCCCCTCCCTTTCCCCCAGGGCCGAGGGCCACCTGCTGACGATGTGGGGCTGCACTCAGTTTGAGAATATACCCACATCAAGGCAGAATATCCCCCTGCCTTTATTCTCTATGGGCCTGGAGGCCTCCGCAGTGCCTGCCCTTGGAGGCTAGTAACCTGGCACACTGAAAGGGCCAGGGATGGCCTGGGTTGTGTTGGAGGTCACATTGGGCCACACAGGAGCTTTGAGCAGGCATTGCATCTACTTGCAAACCATGTCAAGGAAGCACTTCTACCCATTGCTGACAGCCTCTGTGCCAAGGGCAGGCATGGTCTGGCCAAGTGGAAGAAAGGGGTTTGGGTGGGGTCAAGGCAGTTGTGATGTCTAGGTGACCCTGGAGGAGGCATCAGAAGAGGGGCGGGTCAAGAGGCCTGGCTTCTGTCTGTGGGGGTGAATGCCTGCAGCCCCTGAAGGAGCCCAGAAGGAGGCACCCAGGAGGAGGCACTGGCCTGTCCTTCTGGGTGGTCAGGCTGGATATGAAAGGGCCAGCCAGCCAATGAGGGTCTGGAGTTGTGGTGAGGCCTCCCTGGCTCTGCGTCTCCAAGGTGTGGGGGCGTCAGATCCTGGGGCCCCATGGGCGGAACAGGCTGCCCGCTGGAGGGGCTACAGGGCCTAGGGCTGCTGAGCGGTGGGCTTGGGAGCTTGTGCTGGTTTTCATGCCCTAAACCCCATGTCCATTTCTGCCCTAAGGAGGTCAAGGATAGTGATATCTGAGCTGCCCACCTTGGGGCTGTCACAGGGGACAGGGAGGGGCCCGGCCAGAGAAGGGGAGCAGGTGTGCTGGGTTCTGGGTGAGCTGCTCAGGCCTGCCCCATGCCTACTCTGGCCTCCGCAGCCAGTGGATTTGGGGCTTCTCCGACCTTGGAGGCATCTAATGCTGGCATCTTTGGGGTGTGGGCCGGGCCCCAGGAGCGGGGCCTGGGCAGCCCTGTGTGTTGAAGAAGGAAGGCAGGGCCCCCGCTCCCTGGGCCCGACCCCCAGCTTCAGCCCCTCTTCCAGCCTGCTTGAAGCCCAGGCCATGTGTGCCCATCATGTGTGCATGAGACTCCAGGGCCCAGTGCTGTGCTGCCTCCTGGCTGTCTCTCCTGGGGGGCCTGTGGGGACCTGGACTGCCGTCTTGGTGCCCTTTCTCAAGCAGTCTCCAGGCCCACCTTTACCCTGAAACCCCCTTAGGGTGCCCTGCCCTCCAGTGGGGATGGGAGAGGGGCTGCAGGAGCTTGCACATTCCAGGGTTTGGGGTCAGACCTGAGCTAAGGTTCAGGGAATGGGGCCTTGTGTCTGGAGGGGTGATGTTGCACACTCGGCCTGCTGGCCTCAGCTGTGGGCTTGGGTGAGCAGCCTAACCCTGACTTTGGTGTTGGAGGTACCTCATGGAACCCCTGTGGGTCTTTTCCTTGATGGAGTGGGTGTTTAGCCCCTCTGGACCCAGGTGGGCCCAGGCTGTCTACCCAGGAGTGTCCCTGTCTGCAGGTATGGCTCTGGCCCTTAGCACAGCCAGCAGGGTCTGGATGAGCATGGGTGGTGCTCACCTTCACACTGACAGATCTGTGTGGGAGTGAGGGTCCTACAGGGCCTTGCTAGCTTATGCCATGAGCATTACACTGGTACCCGGAGGTGAGCTGAACAGCAGCTGGCGCAGGTGTCACTCAGATGGAGCAGCAGGAATCGGCTGCCCTGGCTGGCAGTCTAGCCCCGGGCTAGCCTTTTGGAAACCTTTCCCCCTCATTCCCAGGCTCTGGCCCCACAGGTGTCAATTTGACTCCCCTGGGGCATGGACCGTCATCGCCTCTGTGTTCAAGGAATGGCCTGAGTTCAAGCCGGGCTGGGGGTGTGTGAGTCCAGGCCAGGCAGACAGGGCCAGCTCCTCCTCCACCTGGTGGGTGTGGTCATCCCCAGACGGTTTGTGGCCACCCCCGGACCTTCCTTCCAGCCTGCCCTCCAGGTGCTGGCCT